AATGGATGTCCTAGAACAAGAAAAGGAGGAGAATTCTCCAAGTTTTACCGGTGTTCCCGGCCGGAAAAAGGGGTGGCGGTAGCTGGGGCTTGTCGAGGTTGCAGAGGGTCGGGGGAAGAGGAAGAGTAGGACGCGCGGGGAAAGAAGAAAGAAAGAAAAGAAATAGGAAAATAAGGGGTCAGCCGATCCTTATCCAAATTGTTTTCTTTTAAGCCCCTTAACTTCGGAAAGTTTTACTATTAAGTCCATTAATAAGAATCTCTCATAACTAAGTCCCTAAAATTTGGGGATATTACATCCACCCTTCCTAAAAAGGAGTTTTGTCCTCAAAATTCAAATTTAGGAGATAAAATCTAAAACTTACATCCAATTAGAAATGGCTAACCTTTTACCTTGTCAATTCTTTTCGGGATAGCATATGGTCCAATATGCCTTGGATTCAATTTTCCCCATAATGATGTCAAAATTAAGGTATCTAAGCAAACAAGCTAGCACTCAATTATCTACCATCAATAGAATATCTATCGTCCTACACACATCTCTAGTAATCATCACCCCTCCTAAAGGGGTGTTCACATGCAGTTCAAAATCAGAATTATCAACAGGTAAAGCTCGTTTCACAGCATACGATCAAGTAATAAAAAGTGTGATGCACCTGAATCAAATAAAACATGTGCATGATCAGAATTAGCAGGCAAGTACCCATGATTACGTCGATAGCCGCAGCTTCTTGGTGAGTCATCACGTGAACTCTCGCCTGCTGGGCTCTCGTCCTAACCCCGACATTTTGTTTCTACACCTCCTGATTCGTAGAACCTTGTGGAGATACAGTTTGAGTACTCTGAGCTCTAGGGTCCAACTGTGGGCAATTTGCAACCTGATGTCCTTGGTTTCCACATCTGAAGCAAGCCTGAGTAAAAACGCGACATTGGTCGCGACTGTGGCCCACTCTTCCACAAGTGTGGCAAATAGGTGGGGCAGGTTGAGTGCGTTGAGTGCGTCGGGCTGCTAATGCTTGACCCACGGTCTTGGCAACCCTTAGCTCTTTAGAAGCCTCGTCGGTATCAGACCTAGGCGGTGCAAAGATTGAGGGTCTACGACTCTCATCAAATTTCCTCTTCTTAAAGGATGACCCAACTTTTTGTGGATCTTGTGTCTTGACCCTAGCCATAGCCTTCTCCTGATCTATGGCTCTGTCCGTTGCCTCTTTGTAAGTGGTAGGTTTGAATTGATTCACCGCCAGGTAAATGTCAAGATTCAAGCCCCATAAAAATCTATCAGCTTTAGATTGCTCATCCCTGACTTGACCACCCACAAAAGATAGATAGCGGTCAAACTTCTTCTTGTACTGCTCAACAGTACGTGACCCTTGTTTTAGATCTGCAAATTCTCTTTGCAGTTCCCATCTTTTGCTGTCAGGTACAAACTCTTGCATGAACACCCATTTAAACCCATCCCAGGTGCTTAATTCAGGCTCTCCTTGGTGTAGCTTCAAATAAGCCTCCCACCAAGTTAATGCATCACCTGTATGCATATAGCTGCCCACATCCACCTTAAGATCATCAAAAACCTTCAATAGGCGGAATCCCCTTTCCACCTCGGTAAACCATGACCCTACTTGCTCAAAACCCGCTATACCATCAAATCTCCTAGTTACCACCTTTTGGAATTTGGTATAAATCTTCCAGCTAGGCACAGCAGGAGTAGAAAAGATAGGAACAGGAGAAATAGGAGCAAGGGCTGCCGAGGTGGGAATCACTGAGGATGGAGGTGGCACACTTATGGCAGGAGACGCTTGGCGTCTCATCTCCGCCATAAATTCCTAAAAGAAAATGGCCATTTAAGGGTTGCTCGTCGCTCCCTCTTGAGGAGCAACTTGGGTAGGGGGATTGGCAGTTGGGATCGGAGGAGTGCCCGAGTCTTTACGGCCACCCCTTGGGCTCCCATGCCGTTTCGAAGCCATCTATAATCACACAGAAGGTTTATAAATCATTAATCAAGTGCCCCAATTGAAAATGACCTGGAAGGTTCCCACTTCCAGGACCAAATAACATAATAATTAATAATTCCAACACACATGAAAAGAATCAAATAAGCGCTCTTAATCAACCCCACTCTCATGCCTCACCATGTTCCTATGATCCCTTGGCTAGCCAAATTCTAAACGAATCTTAGGTATTTATTTTAAACTTAGGCTCTGATACCACTAAATTTGTCACACCCCAGAACCCAAATCCGGAGATGTGATAGACGCCGTGCACTCGTAAACGGGTTCCACGAATGCACAAGGCTCGGAACTTACTGAGTTCTTAATTTCCAATTCAGATAATTCAATCTAAAAACTCAGGTAAAATTTAACTTCCATTGTCAAAAATTTACTATTCCAGATATACAAAAGTTTATAAACAGATATGGCTATAACCAAGGGAACTCTGTAAAAAAAAAATGGTTATTTCTATCAGCCATGTGAGACTAGCGGCCTAACTCCAAAAGATCTAAATCCAAAATAATATCTAGCCGTCTAGCTCGTCACTCCACCGGCTCCCTATGTGTCGGGTATCACTACCTGAAATGGTGAACAAGGAAAACGAGGTGAGATAAAATATTTCAGTAAGTAAAATATGGATAACCCTTGATAAAAATTTTTAGCATGTCAGATAAACAGTTTACATAACAAACTTTCAATGATAAACCCTTCATGCATAATAAAACTCATCAATAGTCTCATCTATAGGTCACGGCCATCGTTTATAAACCTCCCACTGGCGGGCACAATAGTAGTATCAATGTTTAACAACTCCCACTGGCAGGCGACAGTAATAACCAATGTATTATCCCATTAGCAGGATTTTAGAATGGACCGATCATATCAGAAAACGTGTTGACATGTGCTAGCGTTTATAAACCTCCCACTAGCGGGCACAGTAAGCATGACCATATCAGAGACAACCATGTAGGATTTACAGAAAAACCCGAAATTCACAATCAATCTCAAATTTCATAAATAACCAGAAAATTCCATGTGAACATGGATTTAACAGAAAACTCAGAATTTACCAAAATTCTTAGTTCATCAAAACAGTTAAGTCAATTCCAAATAGGCATGCTCTACTCAGTGCAAAAGGAAAAACAATTTCATGTGGGCATGCTCAACTCCAGAAAAACAATGAAATTCTCATTTTCATTCCAATCATGC